GAATGCAAAGATTCATCAGAACAAGAATTGTTATATTTCAAAAATACAAATGATCTACACTTTTCTGGGATAGAAACCATAACTTCATTCATATTTCAGCAGCTCTGGCTGTCAGGAATTTCCAGGGTTTACTCCCTTTCCATTTTTCTGCCTTTAGTGGAATTTAATTTTGTTTTCATGATTGCTGTCTTGTAAAAATCATTCCCTTTTTAGCTGTTGCCAGTTCAAAGTAGACAAAATTTACAGTTCTAGTGAGTAAAACTCCTTTATTGGGCCATCCAACCCCTATGACTATATCTGTCTTTTCCAGCTATATTTCAATTACTTTTATGTAGATTGAAATCCAACATTTTCCTGAATCTCATTTATTGTTCCTCTTATTCCTGTGCTTTTAATTTGGTTTTTATCATTTAATTGAAATAGATAATAGTGCATGGAAAAAGAGCTAAAACCTTAGTTGTTTGGATAGAAATAGAATTCAGGAGACTAAAATTATTATAGGCCCACATTAAAGTCTTGATACAAATAGGTTGCTACTAAGTTCTGTATTTGAAGTCATTTGAATAGGAGCTAATTTGAAGTTTGCCACTGAAATTTATAAATACTTTGGTAGTAAATTAATAACACTTTAACAACACTCTAAAAGAAACTCTCCAACTACTAACAACACTAATAATAAAGACGTTGTTAGCACCTTTGAAATTTATGTAATTAGAGCTAATTATGTAAAACTAATTAGAAAGATCATTTCAAGTATTCTTATTTATTTATTAAAGTGGACATTATAAAAGATCTGACTCCAACATACCAGACCAGACCAGAAAGACAGGAGTCTTAAAAGAAGCCTCATATGAGGCTGTGACTCACTATTCACTTAATTGTGACCAGTAATTTTACCATATTTCCTTCCCATTGACCTCAACCTTGTTTTAGCAACAGGCTTTTACCTTCAAATAGTTAACAACCAGCCACTGATACTGATACCTGGACAACATATATGTCCACTGAATATTAGATCGTTAACTTGCTGTAGTTGGAAGCAGCAAAATGCCAGTGTAAAATCCTCTCTGATTCAAATAATTCATTAATTTGTATTGCTGCCTATCCTTTAGTTAATACCAGAGAGTTTTGTTTTGCTTTACTCTAAAGACAAAAGAAAAATAACTTAAATCAGGCCCCAGCTTTAATTTTAAAAGTTAATAATCAAGGAAACCTTTCTTTCGATTGTAATGTTTTGACTTTAAAAAGAATCATGGCTCCAAAATTTTGAAATACTATCTGTGCTTAGTAAGGTAGCTCACGTTTTTCTACGTATTTAACCCATGTTTGCAGTGAAAGGGTCCAGCTTAGAAATAAGAGTAGGATTTTACTCAGAGCAGAAGAAAACACCTGCCATTAAACCCGAGAGCACAAGTGGGGCCTGGAGTGTCCGAAGCAGCCGCCACAGCTGTGGATGGAGGTTGACCTCTGCTTTGGTTCTGCATTGAGCTGGCAGGTGCCAGGACGCCATTCTGTCTATTCAAAAATACCCCCTTTTGAAGAAGCAGTATTTATTACTCAATTGTAAATGCAAATTTTTGTGTGTTCATGAATTAAGCATCCTTGCTTATGGCAAGCTGTCTAAAGAGCTCTAGAGGACACATGTGGCTTTAGCATTAGTAATTGGACGTTGGGGAAAAGACTCATCTCTGTTCCCCACTGTAAAATAATTTCACAAAAGTTTTGACCTCAAACATGCCGTATCACCTAACAAGGTCCCTTTGGGAGACTGGTACAATGAGAGCCTTGGCCTCTGAAATCTCACAAGCAAAAGCAAACTAAACTTTAAAGAGGAGAAGCTTTTGATGGGCATAGGGGAGGGGGGCTGGGGACAAGTCCACAGTAATTGTAAGTGACCTTACAGTAGCTGGATTTTCTAGGGGTCATTTTTCTTAACACCAGTGTAGGAGAAGTGTTTGACTTTGGCAACAGGCTATTTAGCTTTTCGAGAACAGCCTGTTTAGCTTTTCTAAATCAGCATGTCACACCATATCCTCTACCAGTGCTTAGAACATTGCCAAACTCTTTATAGGCATCCACCAAATGTATATAAAGATCTAATTAGAGTTAAACATGCTACTTAATTAAATCAAGACCAGAATCTCCACTGCATTTCTTAACTTGATGGTAGGTGTCCTCTCATTCTTTTCTTTGGGTTGACTCTGCCCCACCAAAAATAAAATCCTACTTGTACAGCATTAGTGAGCATTTTGTGAGTGTCAAGAATGACCAATAAATTTCTTAAACTTAATTTTACAGAGGTACACAGACAGACTGTACTCATGACTCACTACTTGATTCGCTGAAAACATTAAGAAAAATGTTCTTAAAATAGCTCCCCTTTTTAGTGGCAAAATTATTGGGGGAGTTAAGGATTTGTTTAGTTGATTCCATTATCTTGGCCCCCTCTCCCTCTCCCAGATGCTCTACAATTCCTCTTTCCTGCATTTTGAACTTGAGATGTTGAGGCCGCTGTTCATGACACTATGAAAAAGGCAATTGGGGAAATTCCCTGGCGGTCCAGTGGTTAGAACTCCGTGCTTCCACAGCAGGGGGCATGTTTGATCCTCGGTTGGGGAAATAAGATCCTGCAAGCTGTGTGGCTCGGCCAAAAGAAGAAAAAAGAAAAGAAAGAAAAAAAAAAAGAAAAAGGCAATTGGGAGGCATTCAAGAGGGCACCTGTTGAAAGCAGGCACCAGATACATGGCCGTCAGTCTTCCCGAGAATCTAGTTCTAGAGCTGTGCCCTAACACTTAGCATCACGATCCACTGCATTTAAAGTCACACAGACTAGCTTAAAGTTCTGGCTAACTCACTTACAAGAGGTGTAACCTTGATAATCTTTGAGTTTTATTTCTGGCATCTGTAAAAGAAATATAAAACTTTGCTCATTAGGTTGGGAGAAGATTAAATACAGTAACAGGTCAAAGTTCTTTGTTGATGGTAAAATATACAAAATGTAAGACATGATGTTCCTGTTATTGTTAATTTCACGATAACCTCACAGCTGTTAAAATTGCTGCAACTGAGAATGGGAATTTGGTACAGCTCCTCTGCAACTGGTGTTTAGCAGCAGGTATTTTGGTAGGTGGAGCATTCTTACATTCCCACCTGAAGTGAAATAGCAGTCCCCACTGGGACCTCAGAAGGGGTACTTTGTTAGGACCTTGGCTTTACTCCTGTCTAGACTTGTCCTTGTCTCCCAACCCTGCTAAAAAGGAAGGTGAGAGATTGAAGGTAACTCTGAAATGCTCTACTTCCGCAGGTGGGCTGAGCCCTGAGACATGACTTCATCTTTAAGAGCTAGGAAAAAAAAATACTGATGCCTCTAGAATTCATGTTTCCTGCTAGTATTTTTGTTTAAAAGTAAAGAAAATCTCAGTGTGGCTTAAGAATAGACAGCTGTCCAACAAAATAAAAATTTCCTAAAAGACCCACATGTATATGGTCATCTGATTTATGACAAAGGTAACACTGTACTGTGATGGGTAAAAGAGGCATTTTCAATAAATGGTATTGGGTTAATTTGATATCCACATGGGGAAAAAAACCATCTTGACTTTAACCTCACGTCATTCACAAAATCAGTTCTCCATGAATTCAGATCTAGATATGAAAGATAAAATAATAAAGCTTTTAGCTTTTAGAACAAACATAGAAGAACCTCTTTATGACCTTGAAGGAGGCAAAGATTTCCTAAGTGGAACAATAAAAGAGATAATCATAAAGAGAAAAAATGTTAAATTGAGTTGAAGAACTTCTATTCATCAAAAACATCTTTTAAGAGAATGTAAACACAATATGCAGCGTGGGAGAATATGTTTGCAATAAATATATCCTTTTCTGACAAAAGACTCAAATTCAGAGTGTGTAAAGAACTCCTATCTGTCTATCTATCTATCTGTCTGTCAATACAATGTATAATATGTAAAGAACTCTAGCAAATAATAGGAGAACTCAATAGAAAATGATGTGAACAGACACTTTATGGGATAGGATGCAAAATGGCCAATACATTTATTAAAAGGAGTTCAACTTAATTACTGGAGAAGTACAAATTAAAACACTGTGTGAAACTACTATACCTCCCACCAGAATGTCTAAAATGAAAAAGATGGAAAATACCAAGTATTGGTGATGATATAGAGGAACTGAAAATTCTCATACATTGCTGATGGAAGTATAATTGTTAACCACATTGAACAACTATTTGGCAATATCTGCTAACTAATAATCCAAATGTATGTATTTTCTAGAATGTAACAATTCCACTCCTAGGTATACACCCAACAGAAATGTATTCAATTTTTCACCGAAAGACGTATACTAGGATGTTTATTGCAGCACTATTTGTAATAACCAAGACCCAAAAACTCCTGGAAACAAATGGACATTAACAGTAGGATAAATAAATAAATAATTGTTTATTCACACAGTGGAATATTATAAATCAGTAAAAAAAAACAATCTACAACTACACACAAAATTTTGCATGAATTTCACACACACTAAACAAAAGAGGCTAAACACATAATGGATGATTCTATTTATATAAGTACATTTATAAAAGTACAAAAGCAGGCAAACTAATCCATTCTGCCATAGGTCAGATTCATGATTACTGTTGGTGGCAAGCAGTAACAAGGAACATCACAACAGGGGCCTCTGGGTTCCTTTAGCTGGGTTCTACTTTCATTAGGTGTGTTTAGTTTGTGAAAATTTACTCAGCATATTATATACTTATGATATTTATACTTTCCTGTTTATGTATATAATACCATTTTCACATTCTAACCATATTACAAGTATAGTTTAGAACCTAAAATTCCTTGAGAAACCTCACTGACAGGTACAACTCTGTGCCATTTGCATGAATCTTGCGACTAACCCTAGCCTATCTATTTAAGCTACAATATATTTTGAAATTTATTTAAAATATGTTTTTTTCCTCTTTATTTCAGGGCCCTCCTGGTCCAAAAGGTGATAAGGTAAGAAAATGTGTAGCAGGAACAAATTAAATTAGTGGAACTCCATACTGGCGTGACTTATACTATGTTACATTTAGATCTTTTTAATGAGCATCTACAGACTTTGTTCTAAAACTATCTTCTCATTTTCCTACTCTACAGGGAGAACAGGGTGATCAGGGACCTCGGGTAAGTTATACTTTTCCAATCCTGGGCAGAAAATTATTAATAGTTTTCAGCTCCAAACTCATTGAATTAAAGTAGCCCTGGCTTCATAACTGCCTTGGTGTCATGTGGTTTAGTAATGGCTGACAAAAATACCATACCACTTATAACTGAAATAGCCTTAATTGTAACTAATGTTTGTATCTTGTGCATTATCTTAACTTGATACCTGTAAATAGGACACCCTGCAATAATGATTCCTACTGATTAAGGGCCAGAATCACTACTACAAGTCAGCAACCACCTCCCTTCCATTGACTCTTGGGTCCTTCAGATTTGTATGCGTTGTTTTGTAATATAGAGACCATGTGGATTCCTATTGAATTTGGCCTTTTTCTGCAGTTAAACTTCATGTGCTATTGCATAAATATGTTGTATTATAGATGAAAATATTAATGCATTTTCTATTTTTGTTCATCATAAGTTTGAATAATACTTATTTGAATTTCTTATTCTTTATAGATTTTTAAGCAGATAAAAGGTGTAATATAATTTAACATTCCAGGGAGGAGGGGCATTCTTTTATTCTTCTCAAATGTGGCTCTTTTAACCATTATAAGACAATGGTGAATGCTTTGTTGTTACCTTGGTAGTGCCAAGTCCTCTGCTTCACATCTGTGCCTTATTACCCAAATGTTCAGACATGCTGTTCCAATGATGTAGTGGCTCCGTGCAGACATACCTCTCAATTTTCTCGTGTCACTATGCACAAATGCGAGTATTTGGTTGAAGAGAGTCATTTCTTACAGTGGAAAAGCACATTTAAAACTTTCAGGTTGAAAACAGACACTGTGTAGGTTTTTTGTGAAATGCAGTCTGTGAAGTTAATTATTGAATTCATTTTCACCGCAGTAGAGGTTTTATTGCAAAAGATGTAGTCAATGCAAACTTGAAAAGTGTGTAGTCTTATCCCTCCTGTTTATTAAACTAGATGAAAATTATGCTATGATTTACTTTCCTTCCTATTCTTCTGCCATTTCTTCATATAGAGATAATGACTATGTCTCAGCACAGTCACCATGGCAGTTATTCTATCTGATGACGAGTTCAAAGTTTATCTTAATGGTCAAGGAGATTAAACATCATGATATCTGTCATGGATGTGAATGGAATAAAATTCTCATAACCCTAAATGATTAGAATGTAGCCACTTGCTCCATATGTGGTGATTATTTCACATGGCATGTCTCCATGTATTGAGTATTATTTCTTTCTACATGCAATATCAAAATCACTCAACTTGCCCTTTCCAGGTAAGAGGGAACCTGTTTCTATTCTGAGAAATCTTCTTTTGGCAAAGGAAGTGAAAGGGTGGTTCACAGCTTAGCTGTCATCAGTGTGCACACAGTCCTCAGTTTCAAAAAGGTGTGTTGGCTTTCATCGTTCCAAAAACTGATGATTGATTATAAAGCTAGGCCAAATTTTCAGGAGGAAACCCGAAACCATGTGAAATTCACCTGGTTTCATGTTGCATTACAAACTAAGACTTGGACCAGGATCCTTGCAAGTGTGGCCAAAGTTCATGAACTACTTTGACAACCCAGACTGCCTTTCACACAGATTGCAGCCAGTTTTCACACTGACTGGGGCCAAGTTTCACACGATTCAGGGGCCATTTAGCATTTTAGCTGGAAAGTGGCAAAAATTGATCCCATTTTCATTTGGATTTTGCTTTGTATTGAAGAAATTTGGATTGAATCCATAATGTAGGATGAATCTTTATGGATAAAAATTTAAATGTCCTAGGTAGTATACATGAATGTGAGCATGAGAACTTACCGAATTGCCTGTCTTTTCTCAGATTCCTAATTTAGAAACAAGGCAGGTCACATTCAGTGATCTTAGAATTTTAATATAAATTTCCTACTTATTAGGAAATTCACATATCAAGATGGCAAAATGAAGATTTTACATTTCCAGAAAAATCAAAAGTTAGTTAGAACTGGAAAAGTCGTCAATTTTAATGAAAATTAATTTTACCCACATCCTCTTTGGGCACACTGTTCCAGCTGATGCTGACAGAGGCTCTCTTTTTTAAAATGTAGATCTTTGTATTTGAATACCATTTCCATTTTCATCCTATCATAGGTTTTTGAAATCCACGTTCTACCATTTGTTGCAAGTAATTTATTTCTTTCCATAATTAACTTAACAATATGATCTTACATCATTTTAGTTCTTTGTTAACTGACTTTCCACTGGGATCTATGCTGTTTTCTTGGACGTGAGGTCCTTTTCTTTTTTCGTTTCTTTTTTGTTTTGTTTTTGGCTCGCCAAGTGCCAGACAGGAATATATTAAGCCATATTATGTGAATCAAAGCAGGAAAAATTTGAAGATAAAATGCAAATTAAGAAGGTGAAACTATCTTGAAACACTTGGGCATATATTTATCAACATATATTGAGCGTCTACCATGTTCAAGGTACCCTACTTAATACTATAGAGACTATAAATGGGTCCACTTGCCTCTCTCCTCTACTATCAGCAAATTCAACCTATTCTCATCTCATGTTCTTGATCACTGCAGTAGTCTTCCAACTAATCTTGCTTCCACTCTTACCGTGTACAATCCATTGCCTAAACAGCAGCCAGAGACCATTTTATGCTGTAAATTAGATTATGTCTCTCCCTGTTTTAAACTGAAATCCAAATCACTTTGCTTGGCCTCCAAGATCTGGCCCTTGCTTACCTCTATAACCTCATCTCGAACTAGTCTTCCCCTCCACCCACTGTGCTCCAGCCACTCTGTCATCCACGTGTTCTTTAAACACAACACACTCCCGACTTGATGACTTTCTATTTGCTCTTTTCTGGTCTTGTGATTGGGTTCTTCTTATCATTGAGATTTTTCTCTCAAATACCTCTTTGGGGAGAACTTCCCTAACTACCCAATCTAAATCTGAGATGATCCTATTTTGTTTATTTATTTAGTTGCTTCTTATCTGTAAAACATGCCTCTCCTTAAAACAAAAACTCCATGAGAGCAAGGACTTCTATCTGTCTTGTTCATACCTCCGTCACCAGAACAGTAAGGACTTAATGAATATTTGTTCAATGTTAGAATAAAATATTATCTCATCATTACTGCCCTCAAGCAGCTAATAATCTCATGGGTGCCTGAATAAGCAAACTATGTGGTTTTATGTTATACGCCTTAAACAGCCGTACTAAGAGATGCTAGATAATTGAACATTCTTCCATTTTAAAAAATAACTACAGAAAAGGTGACACTTGAGCTAGGACTTGATACATGGGTAATCTTTAAAAGCTTAGATGAAGAGCAAGACATTAAATATTCCAGGAAGAAGAAATAGTTCATACAATATTATACAAGCAGGAAATGACAGGATTCATTTAAGGAAAGATAATATTCCATTTGCCAAGGGAATAGGTTAAATATGGAAAGATTGTATCATATAAGGCTGAAATTTTTTTATTGAAATTACATCATAGAGCGTTTTGAATGTCTAGTGTGGTGGGCAATAAGGAACCACTGAAGAGTTTTGAATATATCATTTGCTGTATATTACCACTAGACTATTTAGTGTAATTACCAATTTTTTGTTTTTCTTTTCCTGAATCCCAGAGAAGGGAGGAGCCTGGGATTCTGTTAGGGTTTTTTTTTTTTTTTTTTTTTTTTGGCTGCGCCCGTGCGGCATGTGGGATCTTAGTTCCCTGACCATGGATTGAACCTGTGTCCCCTGCATTGGGAGTGCAGAGTCTTAACCACTGGACTACCAAGGAAGTCCACCAGATGTTCTTTATGAAAATGTATAAGGTAATAGTGTCCAGTATGGAAAGAAATTGGAAGAGACTGAAAGCATGGAGACCAAGTAGACCAGGAAACTATGTCAGTCATCTGGACAAGGTCATAAAAGTCTGGGCTATGAGAATAATGTCCAGTCCTCAGTGGAGAGGTGAGCAGAGGGGATGGTATGGCTCAGTCTGGAACATCAGGTTTCATTGGAGGTACAGGGCCACACTGAGCAGAAAGTTCAGTATCAGAATGAGAAGCTCAGCAGTGGAGAGGGGCCAAGTTGGTGAGCCAAAGTCAAAATTCCAAAGGGGTCACCAGAATACTGGAGAAAGCTGTATGTTTGCAATGGAATTCAAAAGGAAAGTTGCATCATGTCATCAATAGGGTTTGCCACAAGCACCAAGCAAAAACCTGGGCAGACAAAGAGGGAAAACCAGGGTTGATACTAGTAGAGGAGAAATGGATAAAAGTGAAGTCTTGAAGCAGAAGGTGAGAGATGAATTTGATCTACATTGGGTTTACATCCAAAATCGGTGACCATGGCTAAAGTCATGATCATGTTAAATTTTTAACAAGAGAAGCAGTCAGGGAGTCAAATTAAAAGGTACTGAGGGGGCTTCCCTGGTGGCGCAGTGGTTGAGAGTCCACCTGCCGATGCAGGGGACACAAGTTCGTGCCCCGGTCCGGGAAGATCCCACAGGCTGCGGAGCGGCTAGGCCCGTGAGCCATGCCATTGAGCCTGTGCGTCCGGAGCCTGTGCTCCGCAACGGGAGAGGTCACAACAGTGAGAGGCCTGCATACCACAAAAAAAAAAAGGTACTGAGGTGAAAATTTAATACAAGTCTTATAGCTAATTGGATGTAAGGGCTGAAGTTGAAAAACAAGGTAGAGCTAGAGGTGAGGTTTCTGGCTTGACTCCTTGATAACGTTGGCCAGAAGAGAGTCAGTAGGATAAATGATAAGTTGAATCGTAGTTATGCTGAATTTGCGATCATGATGAATTATTCCATTGAAATAATGTAGCAAGCAGTTGGTGTTGCAGCTGGAGGTAACAGCTACGTAGCTGAACACCCCCAGAGCAAAAATTGAGACCCCAGGGAGCAAAGTGGAGGGTGAAAGAGGGAACATAGAGCCACTTTAGAAATATCCACACTGGGGCTTCCCTGGTGGTGCAGTGGTTGAGAATCCGCCTGCCAATGCAGGGGA